CTGGGTTTTCAGACGGGCGACGTGAGCCCGTCGAGCTGCAGCAGAAGGCGCCGCGCCACTTGAGATCTGCTTCCTTCTTCTTAGAGATGCGGGAAGGAGTTGCGTCGCGCCTGGGTGAATCGCGGAAAATCGGTCAGTGAAAACATGGCAGCCCGCCTCGGGTGCGTTGGCTCAGGACTTCGTGGAGGGCCGCACTTGCGCCCACGCCTAGGCCAGCCGGAAAGGCGTCGTTGAACGGCGTTGTGGGTGCTGGTGCGTCGCCGATGGAGCTGGAGGTCAGAGGCCGCTGGCCAGCAGCTTCGTCTTGAAGTAAGTGGAGTGGCCTGCGAGCCGGTTCTGTCGCTCTTGCCTTGGGCTGACGGTGAATGTCCCTGGCATGCAGCTTGGTCTGATCGGTGATGAGAGCCATCCCGAAGCTGATTACCTGAAGAAAATCCTGTTACGGATTCGGCTTCTGAGATGAGGCCAATATTCAGAAATAAAATACGTTTTCTTGCATGGATCTTACAACAGTCCTGGTTCACGGCAGTTCACAATATTGGTGTTTGTTTTCTGCCAACAGTGAGGGCCGCTGTCTGCCCGTTGATAGAGGTCGGCTTGCTGTGACGTTCCTAAGCTGCAACGATTCCTGTAAGTGGAATTTGATTTTTGCTTAGCGGCTAATACGTGTTGTGTCCTTAGTCTCACCTGTGATGATCCTATCCCGAACCTGAATTTCTGTTGAAAAAACGTATACGGATCTGGCTTCTGAGATAGACCATTACAAGGACAATGCTTTTAACGTTTAAATAAGCTGCTGTAATATTGGCAGTCTTGTAAGTCTTTCTTTTTTTTAATCCTAGGGTTACTACCATGAGGTTTGCCTGTCTGCTGTATGAGACACTGGTGATAAGAAAAACATACAGGAAAGGCTCTTCGTTTTACAAGCATGAAAACACGATGTTGAGTTTTTTAATTTTATGAATCGATGGAGACAGCATGGTTTTTTGGATGAGAAATGATTTGCTTTCAGCTAACCAGCCTTATTATCAAATTATACTGGTTGAATGTTAACCTTTAGTCCCTGTTCGAGTTTAAAATGTTTAATTGCAATTAAAACGGAGATTCTAAGCTGGCGTGGGAAAATTCTTAGTAATGTGTTTGTGGAGGAAAATGACTCACTTTGGTGATTGGTCACTAAAGGTATGTGCGGGGAACTAAGGTTTTTATGGATTCATATAGGTAAAAAGCAGCAATTACTGGGTGTAGAAAGCATAAGTTGTTACTAAGCAAGTGGAATGTTTTAGTTTTGCTGTAATTACAGTTCTGAAAGTGCATGCTCGTGGAGAAATGTGGCCTGGCGTGCTGAAAACAAAGGAAAGAGGGCCCAGCCCAATTGGCAAGTTTTGATTAACCACAGTCTGAGGAGAAGGTTCCTGATAAGAAAACCTGGCAAAAGCTAGGAAAACATTTACATGTAAAAGTAATAGTACCTGATCTCACCTAAGTGCTTGGGCCTCTCACATGGTCATTTTCCATAAATAGCTGTATGAATAAATTGTTATCAAGCCCAGGTTTGAATGTCATTGTTCAAGTAACATTTTTATCTACTTGTCATGAGTTCTGCTATCCTTAAGTATCTCTCTTATCTGAGTTTGATTTTGGACCCATGGAACCCATAATGTAGATTTTTACCCAGTGGAGGGTCATGAGACTGAAGGCAACATAAAAAGATATCTAGGTATTTGGAAATGTTTCTTGCAGCCATAGAACAAGTCAGGGTCTCAGTCTGTCGCTGATTATTTTCCCTAGACTGGTCTCGAAATCCTGTTCTGAGGCAGTCTGTCTTGGCCTCCCAAGGTACTGAGATTACAGGCATGAACCAGTGCACCTGGCCAAAATACCAAGTATTAAAGCCACTAGATAGAGAAGAATGTTTTGGGTGTCTTTTTGAGTTAGTGTCTCATTCTGTCACCCAGGCTAGAGTGCAGTGGCCACCGCAGCTTCAACCTGCTGGGCTCTTGCAGTCCTTCCATCTCAGCCTTCCAAGTAGCTGGAACTATAGGTGCGTGCCACCATGCCCGGCTGGAGACAGGTTGCCCGGGCCAGATCTTGATCCACCAAACAGGATGGGGAAAGCTATTGCCATGTCAAGTAAAGTTGTTTGGAGATGTGATCCGTGCCTTCACATGAATTAATGAAACACAGTAGGGCGTGGTGAAAGCAGGTGTTTGCCATTATACCTTTGATCCCTGATGTCCTCTTTATCCTGTGTTTGCAACTTCTTAGTTCGGGTTTCACTCAGTCTCCCAGGCTGAGTGCAGTGGCAGGATCCTATCTCACCAATGTCGGCCTGGGTTCAGGCAATCTCTTCACCTCAGCCTCCCAAGTAGCTGGGGCTACAGATGTGATAACTTTTTTTGGTTTTTTTGAGTTGGCGTCTCACTCTTGCCCAGGCTGGAGGGCAGTGGCATGCTCAAGGCCACTGCAGCTTCAACCTGCTAGGCTCAGGTGATCCTTCCGCCTCAGCGTAGAGATGTGAACTCGGCCTCTCACCTCAGCCTCCCAAAGTGCTGGGATTATAGGCGTGAGTCGCCACACCTGGCCGATACCTTTTGATTTGCTGGTGAAGATGGGGTCTGACTGTTACCCAGGCTAGTCTTGAACGGGGCTCAGGCAGTCCTGCCCCAGCCTTCCAAAGTGCTGGGATTAATGGACCACTATGTCATTGTTTTCCTCCCCTTGCTAAAAGTTGTGCTTGAAGTTTAAGGGCCAGTATCTGTATTTTAGTCACTGACACATTTCAAGTGTTTAGAACGGGCCAGGCACCTAGCATTATACAGTAAATTATGGAAATCCGTCATTGAGACTCCAGACAAAACGTTCAGGGAAGAGTGCCATATTGTTTGCTGGCAAACACTTCCCCAAAAAGGTGAAGTTGTGAATGCTCGCTGGGTAATACCTTTTGTCGCTAAAACTCAGGCAATATTGAGATCAAGGACCTGGCCAGGCTCTGTGACTAAGCCAGCTACTCTGGACTGAGATTGGGAGAATCTCGAGCTCAGGAGTTGGAGGCCATAGTGAGCCATGGTTGAGCCACTGCACTCCAGCCTCTGTGACAGACTGAAAAAGATTAAGGGCCTAAAGTTTTTGGATAAGCAACTTATCCCTCAGGGCATACCTGCCCCTTGAAAACTGAATAGACAGTTGGACTTGATGACTCAGCCTGTAATCCCAGCGTTTTGGGAGACTAAGGCAAGTGAGTCCTTAGCCCACAGGTTCAAGACCACCCCCAAGCAGCTTGGCGAGACCTCATCTCCACAATCAAAAAGTAGCTGGGTGTTGTAGCACGTGCCTGTTGATCTGGCTACTTGGAAGGCGGAAGGATTGCAGAAGCCCCTGCACTTGGCTTCCCAGTCAAGTGTCTTCTGAACTAACAACTCATAATTCTTGCTGTTTGTGAAAGTTTTAAGCTGTTTTTATGGTTTTTACACCAATTCCCCAGTTAGGATTAGAACTTTTATGTTTGAATTTTCACCTACTAGAATGTCCAGTTCTTCCCTGGGAGTGGGATCCTCCTTCCTATATTTTTCTCCCCAAAAGCTTGGTTCTAGATCCAAACGGTACTTAATTCCTCTGTCTCTGGTCTTGCTCTGTGCCCAACTGGATCTACGTATTTGGTTTTATACAGAGATCAAATGAAACCCAAGTTTGTTGTGAGGTTTTGGAAATTTTGCGGGCTGTCTTGGGGTGGGCAAAGAGAGGGTACCTTTTCATATGAGAACCAGACGCCTTGATCTCATTCTCACAGGTCTGGCCTCTTCCCTTACTACTAGTTCGCTGCTGAGGTTCCAGAGTGATGTGTAGCTCAATAGTAGTCACCATCCCAAAGCAAGTACAGTACAATCTAGTGTATTTAGGACTAGTTTGGTAGTTTTGACTGACCACAGTTCACTTCCAAAGAATAAGAGAATAGCAGAAAAGTCATTTTAGGATACACAAGATTTATCATTTAAAGAAGATGACATTGACAAACGGCACCCAGCCCCTGAATAACTTGAGTCAACTACTTTTATACAAAAGGACAGGTTGGTGATTGTTGCTAATTGTTGACCAGCTTAATTGCATCAATGAGAACACAGGCGTTAAACACTAAACTTTTCTCTGGGGCAGTATATGTGTATTTTGGGGGGTACATCTTAATTCTGACTTGAATTTCGTCACTGATGAATCTGATCTTATGTACATTTTTTTTCCTTTTTTTTTTTTTGGTTTGAATTGAGGTCTCACTCACCCATGCTGGAGTGCAGTGGCACATTCACGGCCAACCTACTGGGCTCAGGTGATCCTTCCACCTCAGCCTTCCAAATAGCTAGGACCACAGGCATGTGCCACCACGACCAGCTGATTATTTTATTTATTGTATAGAAGAGACCTTGCCATGTTGCTCAGGCTGGTCTTGAACCCATGGGCTCAGGCAGTCCATCCTCACCTTGGCCTTCCAAAGTGTTGGGCTTATAGGTATGAGCCACTGTGCCTGGTTCTTTTTCAAAAATTAATGTAGGGCTGGGCACAGTGACTTGCCTGTAATACCAGTTTTGGGGGAGGCTGAGGTGGGAGGCTAGGGTTTTGGTTTTTATTTTGTTTGCTTTAGAGTGCGAGTGTCACTCTTGCCCAGATGGAAATGCAGTGGCACACTCGTGGCCACCGCAGCCTCAACCTGCTGAGTGCGGGCGATCCTTCCATCTCAGCTTTCCAGGTAGCTGGAACTACAGGTGTATGCCACCACACCTGGCAGTTTTTTGTGGTTTTTTTTTTTTTTTTTTTAATTGTGGGGACAGGGTCTCACTGAGTTGCCCAGGCTGATCTCGAATCCCTCCTCTCAGGCAGTCCTCTCGCCTCGGCCTCCCAGAGTGCTGGGACTGCAGGCGTGAGCCACCATGCCTGGCTGAGACCAGGGGTTCGATACCAGCCTGGGCAACCAAGTGAGACTCCATCTCTACAAAAAATAAAACTAGCCAGACCCAGCTACTCAGGAGGTTGAGGTGAGAGGATCACTGGAGCCCAGGAGACTGACGCTGCAATGAGCTAATCCCATCACTGAACTCTAGCCAGTGACATACTGTCTCTTAAAAAAAGTACCTCTGGAGTGACTTTGGACCCGCCTGGCTGTCAAGGCCACCGAGGACACTGGTCACCCCAGCCTGAGGCCAACGCCACCAGGACTGCAGGGGAATGGAGGCTCAGTTGTGCCCATGCTTAAAGCTGTTTTTCTAATTCAAAAAACAAAGCTGGGCGTGGTGGCTCACGCATGTAATCCCAGCACTTTGAGATGCTGGGGTGAGAGGATTGCATGAGTCCAGGGGTTCAAGATCAGGATGGGCAATATGATGAGACCTCATCTCTACAAAAAAATCAAAAAATAGCTGGCCGTGGTGGCACATGCTTGTGGTTCCAGCTACTTGGAAGGCTGAGGCGGAGGGATTGCCTGAGCCCAGTCGATTGAGGCTGCGGTGGCCGTAAGCGTGTCACTGCACTCAACTGGGCGACAGAGCAAGACTCCAACTCAAAAGAGTAAAAACATGATCAGAGTTTGGTCACCTACCCAGAACTGTCAGGATAGTTTTAAAATTTTATGAACTTGTCTCCACGTATCTGGATATAGCTCCCTTTCTTGAAAGGTGTTAGCAATTCAGTCTATTCCTTTGGAGACTGAGCCATACTAGTAGAGTAGGCGTGTGACGATTCAAAAATATACTGAAATTTGCACTCTTTTTATATTGCATGGCTACCATGTGTAGGTACTAACCTAGGCATTAAAGATACAACAGTGAACCAAACAAAAGTCTCTGCCTTTATGGAGCTTGCATTTTAGAAGGAGAATAAGGACACTACATAATAAATAAATTACAAAATATGTTAGAAAATGAGAAGTGATTTTAAAAAATAGGATGAAGGCTGAACATGGTGGCTCACACCTATAATCCCAACATTTTGGGTGGCCAACGCAGGAGGACTGCTTGAGCCCAGAAGTTCAAGACCAACCTAGACAATATAGCAAGATCTCATCTCTACAAAAACATTTAAAAATCAGCTGAGTGCGGTGGTGTGTGCCTGTAGTACTCAAGAGGCTGAGGCGAAAGGATTGCCTGAGCCCAGGAAGTCGAGGCTGTGGTGAGCTATGATTATGCCACTGCACTCCAGCCTGGGCAACAGTGAGACCCAGTTTGAAAAAAATAAAAATTAAAAATGAATAGGAAGACATGCTAAGAGCCGGGCTCGGTGGCTCAGCCTATAATCCCGCACCTTGGGAGGCCGAGGTGAGTGAATTGCTTGAGCCCGCGGGTTCAAGACCCACCTGGGCAACTTGGTGAGACCTCGTCTCTACAATAAATCAAAAATTAGCCAGGTGTGGTAGCGCACGCCTGTAGTTCCAGCTACTTGGAAGGTTGGGGCGGAAGGATTGCCGGAGCCCAGCAGGTCGAGGCTGCAGTGGCCGGAGCGGCCACTGCACTTCAGTCTGGGCAACAGAGTGAGATTCCAACTCAAAAAAAAAAAAAAGAGAGATGATGA